GCAGGGACCTCTGCTTGGGGATGGATGAGGACCTGTCTGAGAGCTTATGGGTCAGGATTAAAGGGAGGGCAGGGAGAGATGTTATAGTGGGCTCTGCTAGAGGCCATCTGACCAGGAAGATCGAGTGGATGAGGCTCTCGATAGACCCAGAGGAGCAGCCTCACATTCACAAGCCCAGGACCTCAACAACCCCAGTATCTGTTGGAGGGACAACACAGCGGGTCACAAGCAATCCAGGAGGTTCCTGGAATGAGTTGATAAATTCCTTCTCCAAGTGGTAGAGGAGCCAACAAGGAGAGGTGCAATGCTGGACCTTGTTCTCACCAACAAGGAGAGGCTGATGGGGACTGTGAAGCTCAAGAGCAGCCTTGGCTGCAGGGACCATGACACGGTGGAGTTCAAGATCCTTACAGCAGCAAGGAGGTTGCACAGCAAGGTCCCTACCACAGACTTCAGGAGAGCAGACTTTGGCCTCTTCAGGGATCTGCTTGGCAGAGTGGCATGGGATAAAGCCCTGGAGGGAAGAGGGGCCCAAGAAATCTAGTTCACATTCAAGAATCACATCCTCCAAGATCAGGACCATACTTTCCCAACAAAGATATCAAAAAAAACACAGTAGTGTTAGAAACTCATCTACACAGTAAAAATGTGTTCATGTGTTTACATTCACTAACTATATTAATCCTTTGTTAGTAGCCATCAACTACTACTAGACTGCTGAATTTTTGTTTATAAATTAACAGGGCTGGATGGGTAAGATATTATATAAAAAGATCTACTGGTTCCAAGGTGACAGTCCTCTCCCTTAACTCAACAGGGCATATTTATGAAGATAACAATAATCTTACTTACTATATGATCACTAAAACAGTGAATAACTAAAAATATCCATCTATCAACTGAAGAAGTATATAATCTGTGCTGACCATCAAATTAATTCTCCCCTGAACTCCATGAAAGACATTTTCCATCAAAGGAGGCAGGAGTCACTGGGTTCATCTGGAGTTTGCAGATGCATCAAGAAATAGAAGTGGGTTTGTGAGTACTCCCAGAAAAAGCACTCACAATTTTTATGTGGGGTAGGGGGAGAATGCATGGTTTTTTACACGCAGAATCATACCTCATGCTGATAGAAAGCAAGAATAGGCCTGTTGAGTGGGAAGCAGACAGATCCTGTTGACAGAATAGCCACTGCTGGTTTCATCACATTCAGTGTGGCACCAAATGGATACACAAACGTGAGAGATCTGCAGAAAAACACAGAAACTCTGTAAGTACCTGCATGTATTGGGTAGGCTAGACATACTTATGAAACTCAGTCTGAATGTCTAAAGTGTAATTGTGCACTGGTGGTGGAATGCTTTCAAACATTTCTATCACTGTATCAACATTTCAGTCTCTTTCTAAAAGTTTTTCCAGGCTGACAATTTGTCTTAAGTAAGGAAGAACACTCTTGATCTCTGTTTGCACACTCCTGTATCTGAGAGAAGGGCAGAGGTATTTAATGCACAGATGAATATATATTCTGGAACAAAACTACATAAAATGTTTTTACACTAGATTTTTCCTTGTAATCAACTGCATGGTCATTTGTTAGTCTAAAAATAGCTGCGAGGAAGAGTACCACCATTTATAGTTGTTTATAGAAAAGCTGTATTCGTCTCAATGCCTTTTCACTCCTCTGCAGTACAGAGGAATGGAAAGCTAAAAATTGCATTAAGTGTTTCACCCTGGATTAAGACTCTTTAAAAAGATGCCTGCAGTGACTACCTACCATCTAGAGGTTATTCATACATACATTGTTTAATCAAATTCACATCCACAGACTAGGGGCAAAAAAAAATTTGGTAGGAGAGTAATAATTTCTTTCAAAACTTATCACTCCTGCTCTTTCATGGGTTATCAAGCACTACTAAACAGATTCTCCTTTCCAGATGTAACCTTGAGGAGCAAGAAGCTGACATGAGAAATGTATTAGAAAACTTCAAGAAAAGAATATACTCCTGCTAGATTACAACTTGCTAATTCCAAGTTTTCCTAAATAGTTTCACATCAGCCTCCTCAAAGGAAAACACTTACTGTGAGTCATGTCCATCTTCATCTGTTGTCTCAAGCACTGTTTTTCTTGCAGCTTCACTGATTCCCCTACAAGATAGTAAAAAGCAAAACTTACTGAAAACAATACGGATTATAAGAGTTAATGTAAAGATTTATATACTCCAAATATTTACCTATTCAAAACTCCATCAGAGATAAGTGCTTCTTTTGGGTGGTGGTACTTGTAATATACATTTCGTACTACAGCATCTTGAAGAAAGGAAAAAATAAAAGAAATTTACATCTTAGCTGATCAGCGTGCTAGAAATTGTAATGAAAAGTGAGTTTAGCCCTTGGATTCCCTGAGTGTTTGCTTCTAACACCACAAAGCTGGCATGTGGCTCCCAAAAGAATTCAAGTCAGCCTTCACTACCATTTCCTTTTGGACATACAGATTTAGAAAAGGAATATATTTGTAAGTTCAAATAAAAATATGAAAAATAAGCACATCCACGTATCTTCTGCAAAGCAGAAGAGGCAAAAGGATGATACATATTCTTTTAACTGGATTAAGTTTTGCAAGCTCAAAAGTGTGATGAATTGAGTATTGTTGATGCAAAAAAAAGCACAGTCTAGAAATGCCACCAAAGATCCTAAAAATATTTTACCTACACTGAGACACAGTTGTTTTGGTGGGGTTTTTTGTTGGGTTTTTTTGTTTGTGTGGTTTTTTTTTTTTTTACATTGGCAGTACAAAACCTAATGATGTCATTTTATTGGTCAGCTAAAGAAAAGTGCCACTGCTCATTCAGGGTGAGCATGAAATGATCCAATCCACTAGAAGGCATGGAAAAATGTTTTAAATTACAGGCTTTTTAAGCAAGAAGTGTCACTAGAATTAATTTTTGTTACTAAATACCATTAAAACTAAAAACTACAGCAAAGGAATAGAGATAGCTACGTTTTTGTCAAGATACTCTGTGCATGGAGAGCCCTGAGTGTGTTCCAGTATTACACCACTGTGTGCATGTAGATTTCGAGAAAAAAACACCTCATAGACCAAAAGGTATTTTGTGACAGGGATCTGCTTGACTTATATCTACAAAGGCTGAACCTGCACTTTAGATTTTGCTGAAAATAGATGAATAAAAGGTATCACTGAGACCTATTACCATTATTGAAAACGATCCCATATTCTTCTAACAAAAAGTTAATGTTTGTGCCATATCGGGACTCCCCGCCTTCTCTTAGCATCACCAGGATGGCTCCACCATCCTCCAGGAATTTCTTCAGAACTGAAAACTAGAAGACAACAAAGATGCACAAAAAATACATGTGAAAGAAGGTACACACAAAACTGCAGGAGGTTATACTGAGATGAGGGAAGGTGAATGATTGTGACTACTTGCAATGAATTTGATCCTATGAGAAAAGCATTAAAATTTTCATTTGTGTAAATTCATTTAAAGAACTACTATTCAAAAATCTTCTGTGCTGTTCTTTTCTATTACACATTAAGGAAATCTTAAAACATAACCAATTTGCAAACAATTATTGACTTCTTACCTCAGCAGCACTGAACTTTTCTCTTGGCCCTGCTGTAATCCACAATTTTACCCCAAACAGTTTCTCAGAAGTGATCTCATCTTTTAAGCTATGAATAGATTAATAAATATGTGTTATTCTTTGATATAGTCCTAAACCACAACTTTTTTCTTTGTTTTTCTTAAAAGGTCTGGCAAATAAACACAAAGCAAATCACTCCAGTCACTTCACGTCCTTTTATCTGGGTTTAAAGTTGACATCTCAAGCAAACTAATCCTTACAAATATCAGCCCAGTAAACAGTAAAGCCCCTCTAAGAAGGTACTGTGGTAGATCCGGGACTGGTATAAACCACCACAGCTGCTATTAAACTTCGCTCCTGCTTATTCTTTTTTTTTTATTTTCCTCTAGACACATTCTGTAATGGATAGGCAATACCATATGTACAACGGCTGGTTTCTTTTTATCCCAAGTTCTCAGTCAAGAAGACTCAAAGGAGTTGAGTTTCATCCTTAAGATTCAGGCTCTCTCTCTTCTATAGGTAAGATAGAAGCTCCGAAGACAGTTTACGCACAGCATCCGGCAGTGAAGCTACAGCTAACGCCACAGCAACCAGTGCAGAAAGGAGATCCTGACTTACGATACACATTCCCAGCGAGCACTCGGGTATTCAGCGTGGCCCAGCCGCAAGTTTCAGGCTGTCCCTAGGGCCTGGAGGTGCCGCGGGCTCCCAGCGGCGAGGCGGAGGCAGCCCGGCCGCCCCGCTCCGAGCGAGAAGCCTCTCCCGACCCGGCTGCAGAAACCCCCGCGGGCCTCGGGCCCCGCCTGCCGCAGGCCCTCGTACCACAGGACCGCAGCTCCGAAAAACAGTTCCTGAGCGCGCTGCGCCTCACCTCTGTATCTTCCAGTTACCGCGGAGCCTTTTCCGCAGGGATTTGTAGCTGCTGGCGAGGGTGAAGGTCTCCCCTTTGGAGGCGTTGAAGACGATGGCGTTCCGCAGGCCCGTCTCCATAGGGTCGCCCGGGGCTGCTGCAGGCCGCCAGCTCTCGGGGCGTGAGGCGACCCTCCAGCGCCCCTGCTCCCCACCGGGCCCCCGGGGATGGGGGGTGCGGGGGGGTCCCCCTGAGCGGGGCCGGCGGCCGTCACCCCCCTACCCCGGCGCGGGCCGCCTAGCAACGCGGTGCGCATGCGCGGAGCGCAGCTGCGTGCGCCATTCCGGGAGGGGGGGGCACGGGCCCGCCCAAACATCCCCCTCCTTCATTAGCCTAAGGTCGGGACTTCCTAGTTAATTAGGAAAAAAAATGTCTCGGTGACTCTCTTCATGCAGGCGAGGGCAGGGGTACCGCCGCTCTCAGGCACAGAATAAGCCCACCCCCGCCCTCCATCCCTTACACACAGACAGATGGAAGCACAGCCGTGTATGCACTTTAATATAAACCTTCTCATAGTTCTGATGACTTCGGCATGTACAAGAAAGTACAATAAAAAAATTGCTCCAGCACAAGCTTCCCAAGAGCATGAGCATAACACCACTTCTACCCCAGTGTTGCAGTTAGAAGCTTTTAGCCCCCTTTCTCCTCCCCCCAGAAACAGAATAAAACAACTTTTAAAAAAAAGTGGGAAGTGACATCCACTGGGTGCACTAGCATTTAAATTAAGGCAGAATAAATAATCGTTCTACATCAATAACAGGACTTCCCAGACCAGCACCAGAGCCTGGAGGACTGCTGGAGCTGGGCTCAGCCTGGCCCAGGCCCCAGCACAGGGCACCGAGCTGGGCTCAGCCTGGCCCAGGCCCCAGCACAGGGCACCGAGCTGGGCTCAGCCTGGCCTGGGCTCCCCTGTGCCAGAGCATGCTCATTGCAGTGTGTTGGTGTGCCTTGGGCAAGGCAAGCACAACTGTGAGAGGATCCCCCTCCCCAAGCACAAGTTGGCCATAGGGTTATTTTTATTTTTCCAAGCAACTTGGCCTCTTTTTCATCTATTTTACCTGGGATTTTCCTCCCACACACCAGCTCCTCCATAACAGCCTCCTTGTTGCTTCAGCAGCAACCCAATCCTGGACCAGAGAGAGATGATCCACTCACCTTGGGGAGGGACTGGCTGGCATGGAAGGCCACAGCACAGGTCAGGATTTACAGACCCACAGCTGCCTCTGGAGCAATAACTAACTGACAAACAGTTTCTCAGCCCAGGACAGGTGGCTTAAGTGGTCCAGTCCACTTAAAGGAAGCCACTGCTCAGTAGTGTGAAGAGTCACCCTGCCTACTGGGGGGGTAAAGCAGTTGGACATAGCTAGCAGAGACACCTCAACAAAAAAGTGACCAGTTACAGGGACATGTCTGTTGATACGAGTGATGGTACATACCTCAACCATAAATACAACCACAGAGTGAATACAATTCTGCCAGGGCAAAAACATAATAATCAGTGTCCCACTTTCCTTGCCAGGGGAACAGTCATTTAGAAGGAAATCCACCAAAAAGCAAAAGTAAAGAGCTCTGTTCCAGCCAGTTAGTGTATTAGTCCCAATTTCCTTAAACCATGAGCAAAAGGACAGTACCAATACTTTTAAAAAAAACAAAAACCAAACCAACCAAAAACCACCCATGAACATAAACCCTATTCAGTTAAAATCTGGCTTCTCAAAGCCTTTATAAAACCTAGATGCCATCTTCAGTTGGTGCATAAGAAAATCCTAAAAATGCATCTGAGGCACTGGAGCTGCTGGCTGCTGGGTCAGGCGTGTGGGTGATGGAAGTGGAGATCGCTTCTTGGGTGAACTCTGGATCAAAGTGACGCAGATCAGCTGGACCGGCCTAAGCCAAGGAGCAGACACACACACAGTCATTTTGAGTGATGAGACCTAAACCAACCACTTGTGTTGGAATAGTCTAACACAGCTGCTCTTCCAAAAGCATTGTCACCACTGCATGTGCAGTTCCTAACCTGCACTTCAGCACCCCTCAGTGTCAGCATAAGACATCTGGAGGGGATTCCTTTTGTACCACTATATAACAGATACCAGACACTTACCACATTGGGGTTAAACGGAGGAGTAATCCTCTTGTGGTACAAGTCATCCCAGTTTATTGGGCTGAAGAATACATGGTTCTTTATCTCAAGCTGCATAGAAAGCAGGGGGAAAAAGTCAGTCTTCTGCCAACCCTCCTTTTCCAGCACCTGCCAGCTGGTTTTATAACATTAAGTGGTTGAAGCAAGACTTGGAGCTGCCACATATCCATGTAGGGGCCATGTAGCAAATCCCTTGAAGGGAGATGACACCATCTCACACTGGTGCCCTAGCTTGCCACCACACCTTGCATCATAGTGTTCCCTTTGTAAATCCAAGTCAACCCCATATGCCCCTTTTAGGGGGCCGGAGACACATCAGCATGCAGGGAAAGGCAGTGCTGTTATGAAAGAAAGGCTCAGAATAGAAAAGTTTCCTATTCATCCTCTCTCCTGATCCTAATGGAGGCAACCTACAAAGTCTGTCTTGGCACCCAGCCTCCTCTTCTCATCCTTGTGGAGAAGTCCTTGGAGTATGTCACAAGCTGCCACAGTCTTGCTTCCTTGGATCTGGAGTGGCTTGTGCAGAATGTTGTCATACATCTGAGACACATCTCGGCTGTAAAAAGGAGGCTAATTTGAAAGAGAGGAGAAACAGCCAGGTAAAACATGAGCTACCATAAAGGAACCACACATTACAGGTCAAAATAAGTCCTGCAGCCAGTAGATGAGGGAGACCTGCCATATCTCAGATTTTTCTATTCAAAGGGCAATGGTATGATTGAAACAGGTCATCGAATTCAGGATTCAGTTGTCTGTGTCAGGTACCATCTGAACACCAGACCAACCTTCCATCACAACTTTCAAAAATAAATTCTTCACTATGTAGCAGAAAACACACAGCTTCCAAACCTACCAGTCCAAACAGCATCTCATAGAGGACAGCTCCCAGGCACCACCAGTCTACTGTCCTGTCATATGGCTGCTTCTTTAGCACCTCAGGTGCCAGGTACTGGGAAGAGTCAGAAATAAATAAGTTGAATTATAAAAGAAGGGCTTTGTCCTCATAAGTACACAGACCTGGCTGCAGTTCAAACTGAGTAAATGCATTAGGAAGCACACATACATTTCCTACTGTGCTTTGCTAGACTGTTCACTTGCTTCAGAGCAGTGAGTTGGAAATACACCCACTAAAACCCCTGCAGTGTTTTTCTGGGCTACAGAAGGTTCTCTTCCTATAGAGGGTTTGTACAAATATTTTCTACCCACCACAATTCAACCAGCAAACATGTCCTGCACTGACACATTATTAAACCCCAAGAGGCTTCTGTGGTTTTGAAAAAGCTGCAGTTTTGAGTCCCAGTAAGTCTGTCCAAAGCAGCAAAACTACTAATAACCACCAACAAGGAGGAACAGGGAAGAATTCAAGTGGCCTGCAGAACAAGCAGCGCATCAAGTCTGGTCTCAAACAGGATTATCTCTGTGTACTATCAGGCTTCCTATCTAGGGCAGGAAAAAAAACCCACAACATACATCAAAAACACAAAACAAAACTCAAAACGTTCCTGCTTGACTTGTGCTGTACTATTGCATAAGCGGATCCCCACTGAAAGCTGAGGGCTACCACCAGAAAATTCCTGCCCACTTCTGCTGCGCCTGAATACTAAAAGGTAACTTGTTTACAGACCCATCTTCTAGCTCTGAGGAGAAGCAGCAGGACAGGTGTATTACCTAGGCCAAAGTGCTACCAAAATCCCAAGTTCGACAAGAAGCAGGGAATAAAGCCTCCAAGAAGCCAAACTGGAGATAGGTTTTAGCAAAACCGAGTTGAAGTGCAGCGCAGAAAAGGCATTTCCTCCCCTCTGAGCAGTGTTCACCCTGCAGAGGTGAGCCTGGTCCTCTCCTCTGCACAGAGTGTTTTACAGGTCCTGCATACCAAGGACACACAGAAGAGCACAGCCAGGTCCTGTGTGTGTCAGTACCAGCAGGCTCCCTATTCTGCAGCTCCAGGGTATCAGAGCAGGTAAACAACCTGCTCACAGGCTCCCAGGGTCAAGGTTGTCTCCACAGCCTCCTGGAACAGCCCCAGTTTCACAAGAAAGGCCATTTCCAAGTGCAGGGATCCCTGCATTTGTACAGCAAATAACAAATAGTACAGCAAATTTAGAGTACTAATCAGCTGTTACAGGCAAAACTGTCTCTGCTGAGTAAAGAAGGCCTTATCTAAACTCCAACTTCAAGCTGACAACCTCGAAGAGCCCAAGATGGTCTAATTCAGTCCATATTTTGAGATGCTGAGCATCCAGGCAAGTATGAGACTCAGAGCAGCAAGTCTTTGAAGGCTTTCAGCCCCTGTGTCACAATGAAACCCCAGCGCATGCTGTACCTCAGGAGTTCCACAAAAAGTAGAAGTTGTCTCCTCTTGCTCCATTCCTTCTTTGCAGAGTCCAAAGTCTGTCAAAACTATGTGTCCCTAGAGAAAAGAGAGACATTTCAGCTTGGCCAGCTCTTTCTGAAGAAGAGACAGGATTTCCAAGCATTAGCCTTCACACTACATCTCAGGTATGTTTTAGTTCCCCACTGCTCATCTGCTTCCCCTCATCTTCCGGGCTTCCTATAGATCAAGTAGAGGAGCCTATAAAGAAAGTAGAGTCTAGTTTGCATTTTATTTTGTTTACAACTGCATAGCTATGAAAAGATCCAACAGTGCTGGTTTCTGCCCTGCTTTATCCCAGAGCCAGTTTATGTAGTGGTGACGCCAGAGTAGCAGCAGTGGTGCTTGCTCTTAGCGCCCCTGATCTCTGCCCACAAAGTCAGGTCCCAGCTGGGGGGGCCCCCCAGGTGTGCAGTTCTGAAGAGGACAGGCTCACTCCTTCTTGCAGGATTTGCACAGAAATGCAGTGATGCAAAAATGCAAAAATCTGTGCAATGAAGTGAGCTTGTGGAACCATAGCCCTCTGTTATGGCTGCGATGCTTTTAAAGCCAGAAGAAAGGCAGCACAAGCTGTGAATGTACCTGGCAATCCAGGAGAATGTTCTCAGGCTTTAAGTCCCTGCAAGACAAAGAGTGTTGTTGGAGCAGATTTGGCCAGATATTTAGGAAAGCCGGATCTGAAACAGCATCAGCTAATAGGATCTAACAAAGTTTCCCAATCCAGTTTACTGAGGCCTTCCCAAAGTGCAGATTCCCACCACTGCTGGGTATGAGCATACACACATGCAAACAGATGCTGTAGTACAGGATCAGATGTTAACCTACATTTCCCTGCATATCTATGCATAAACGGTTACTGAGAGACAATTTCTTAGAGCCAGGTTTATTTTAAATCTTCACACTTAACCATTCTTTCCCCTTCCCACTATCAGGCTGGGAGTATTTACTGTGTATCAGATCCCATGCAGAGAGCACCCCTCTTGCAGGACAGAGTGCCAGCAGCAAGCACTCTCTTGTCTGAGCTGGGAGATTGTTCAGCTACTCCAGCCCTGCAGGTTGCAGGGCCCCAGTGAAGCCCTTTTCCTCCCCAGCACTGCACACAGCCTGGCTGGGCAGACTCGGTGCCCCTGCCCTGCCCAGCAGGACACGTGCCTTACCTGTAAATGATGTTTAAGGAATGCAGGTACCCAATTGCACTAGCAACTTCTGCAGCATAGAATCGGGCCCGGGGTTCACGGAAACAGCGCTCCCTTTGCAAGTGGAAGAAGAGCTACAGGCAGATGAGAGGGTTGATCATTTCTTCTCTAAAAAACTGAAGGATATCTGGAGCAAGCCCCAAAGCCTGATGTGCAGCAAGTAGCACATGAAATAAGCCCAAACCAAGAGATTTTAAGCAATCTAAACACCTTCCTAGAAATTGCTTCATTTGTCCTCCTGTTACCATCTCACTTAAGAATTCATGCCACAAAAAATGGTCATCAGCTGATCTAGTCAAGCTTCCTACAACCCACAGGCTGATTATAGTGGTAGCAGAGCCATGAGAAGTGGTACATGCAAAGAGCTGATCCCCAATATGAATTCCATTTGGGAAAGACATCCATGTTAACAATGTCTCCCAGCCAGTTTCAGATAGCACAGAGAAAGACAGCTAAAAAAAAAAGGCAAGCTTCTACAGAACAGAAAAAGAAATCTAGCACACTGCAATGGCATCACCCAAGCACTAGACTAGGATCCAGAGCTGGCCTACAAGTGGGTTTTGCCTACAGCTCACCAAAATCTGTATTTCCCATATTCTCCATAGGATTTTAAGACACCCCTAGCACACACTTTTCTCAGCATCCTTGCCTTGGGAATCATCTGACTAGGGTCACAGCCAGCAAGATCTTCACTCCTCTTGCCAGCAGTCAAAGCAACAGATTTCACTTCAACCTCATTACCTTCTGACAAGAAACAGCTTTAGGCAATAAAGCAGCATGTTTGGGAAGGCCCAAACAGAGGATTAAAATAAAGCCTCTAAGCGTACTCACCTCTCCTCCATTTACATAGTCAAGCACAAAGTAAAGCTTCTCTGAGGTCTGGAAGGAGTAATGGAGTCCCACAAGGAAGGGATGCTTGACATTCTTCAGGAGCACATTGCGTTCTGCCATGATGTGGTTTTGCTACCAAAAAGCAGGCAAGGTGTTAAGAGTTTCAGGCAAGGGTCCAGTCCAGTCTGTGATAGGGTCTCACTGCTGTTTTAAAACAGGTGGAAGCTGGGAGACCAAAAGGGTCATCTCCAGCCCCAAGAAGGGAACCACTCTCTTCTATCTGACCTGATTCATCTCAGTTCTTCTCCACATTCCCATGGCATAAAAAAAAAAATCCATGTTTAACATGCAAGTTGTCTACATGAATGCCAGCCACAAGATACCTACATTGCATTACCAGGACCACTATTTGCAGAAGTAGCCAAGGAGGAGAGCAAACATACCTCCTTTTTCTTCAGGATGGTTTTCTTATGCAAGACTTTCACTGCATAAAAAGTCCCATCACACTTGCGTTTGGCCAGAAGAACCTGCAACAGAAGGTCCTGGTCACAGATTTCAGCCTCACATTCTGCCATTCAGTTAGTGTTTCCTCATTAGTTCGATACTCTTGTGAGCGATTACACACTAAGTACAGCTTCAGAGGGTCAGATATAAATTTTTAAATATCAAGCTCCCACCCTCTGACTTTCCAACACTTTCTTATGGCCAGAAAAAAAGCACACCAACATCACATACATCTCTTACCCAACAGAAAATTCTGGAGCATTTGGGGACAGTCCCACTTAAAGTGGATCCTTGCTATCTCACAAGGTACAGATTTGTCTGAAGATCTTTTGCTAGCTGAACAAATCTGACACTTTGAATCATGTAGTGCTCCTCACCATTACCACCCTGAGCATAAAACACCTCACACTTCTGCCCTTAAAAGAAGTTGCAGGACAGCTCAAACTATGAATAGGTTGTGAAAAACCCTATCTCGGGTCTCATCTGGTCTCCATCCCACTCAGGTCAAACTTCTGAGGAGAGGTGCAAGCAAAGAACACAACTAGAAACTCCTTCAGCAAGTCTCTTTCCAAGCTGCCTCTAAAGAGCTACAGCCCACCTGTACAAATCCACTTACTTTTCCAAAACTTCCTTTGCCAATAACCTTCAGGAAGTCAAAGTCTGTTGGCTTGGCACTGTTGGGCAAGAATGAAACAAGTTAATGTTTCTGGGAGAGAAATATGCAACAGCAACACTACCATCAAAGCAGAGATCCTTCTTGGAAACATGAGTGTTTGTAAAAGGGATTAAAGGGCACTGGACGGGTGACCCTTGCTCCCAGCCAGTTTGGGATTTTCACTGTGTATGCCAGTGCACCCAGCAGAGGATGAGCAATCCCTCAGCAGCCCACCTGCTGAACACAGCCACAGGTGAAAGCACCTGTCAGGACCAAGTGGCACCTTTATGGGCAACACAGTTTATCCTCATTTCTAGAGAATGATACCCAGGGAGTCCATAGTGATGAGGAATATCTTCCCTTACTACCTCTCAAGAAAGAGGGGACAAGAGGCTGCAAACATGGGCAGGGGAGGATGATTATGGTAACAAAGACCACCTGTAGTTGAAAGTCTTGAAAGTTGGTACATTGGTGATACACACAGTATTAAAGGCCAAGTAACATAATTGTTAGGACTTCTGCAGACACCACCCACATGAGACAGAGACTAGCTGCATTCCCCTGCCAGATCTCTTCACTGCAATGCTCCACACCCTACCTGGCTTTAGCAGAGAGCTTACTTTGGGTTAGCAGAAGGTCCAAGGTTGATGTTATCAGTTGGTGTTGGAAGCTGGAGAGGATAACAGTAATATTAGTCACAAGGACCATGCTGCAGATTGCACTTTTCTCAGTACAGCATCTCTTGCACAGAGCCACTGATAAACACCCATCAGCAAGAGACTTAAGCAAACTTAAGTGATGGGGAAAGGGAGAACAGGGCTATGCAGTATCATGCCCAAGCTGGAGGCCATACTACAGTCCATGCTCAAGTCCTCATATCATACTTGCACATAGAAAAAATACTAAGCAACTGCTTGGTTCCTGACTTGAGGCTTTCAAAACCTGCTGTGCTGTCAGAGGAAGGACACTGCATGTCTCACCACAGCACCAAGACAACAAAGCACTCCCCACTGCTGTGCTAGGCAAGAAGCCCTGAGCACAGCTCAGAGGTACACTCCTGTAGCATCTTCCCCGAACCCTGCAGCCCTCTGCCTACTCTCATTAAGCCCCAAAACTGCCAGGTCTGGAGCCTCAAAAGTACTCTTATGCACACCCAGCACCACAGAGGTGCCAGACTCCCTCTTCCCAGTGAGAAGGTGGTACATACACAAGTGTTCCTCTTCTTCCAGCACACCAGGAATCTTCCTCTCTCCAGATGATGGTAACATTATGCCTTGTCCAAAAGGCTATATAGGGCTTCCACTCTCCTTTTTCTCCACCCAGCACCACCCACAGGGCCAAGGCAGCAGTAAGACTCCTAGTAGACTAAAGCAGGCTCTCCTCCTTGCTTTTCTCCTACAGGAACCAGCCCCTCTCCATCCCAGAGGTAAGTACCTGCTGGCTCAGAGCCACGATCTCACCTGGGTGCTTTTGTCCTGGCTCCGGGAACGATCCATTAAAAAAGCAACTCGTTCAGCACTTGGGAGAAGAGCAAGCCAGTATTGAAAATAGTTCAAGAGAGAAACAGCTTCACACCATTAACTTCCCAGGGACCAGCTCAGACCCCAGTGCATGCTCCCCTCCATCATAGGGGACCTCAGCCGAGGTCCCCAGCTGCCCCTCGGTAGCACTGCTACTCCCAAGGGATGGGGGTGCACACGCTCTGGGGGAGGCAGGGGACAGTGGGCGCGTGCTGACAGGAGGTTGGGGGGGAAAATGTTCCTGGGTGCACAAGTGATTTGAACAAGCACAAGCATATTAAATGCCACAGTCAGCCCTTGCAGAAACTGGTCAGGGCACAAACACCTGAGGACCAGCACAGCCCCAGCAGCAACACAGCGTCAGGGTCAGAGGAGACTGCAGCCCTCCTGGCCATGGCCAGACCCCTCTCGAGGCAGATGCAGCCCCCACCCCACTGCACAGGGACACTGCAGTGCCCATCCCTGCAACCCAGAGAGTGTCCCCACAGGGCAGCCAGTAGAGTCCTGCTGGGTCCAGCCACCCCACCCCATCGGGGCTGGCAGCAGCCAGAGGCCATTCCCCCAGGCCAGGGCAGACCGTGGCAGTCTGGGGCTGTTGACACTGCAGGGAAACGGGGCTGGCCACGGCAGCCAGCACAGGCACGGTGAGCAGAGGCATTAAAGCACAGGGCTCTCGGCTACCCAGTGGAGCTGCTGCCGGGGCTGGAGGAGTTGGACTTGAACAACACTTGTTGGTTCAGATCTACCCTGCTTGAGCATCACTGGGGAGGGATGGGTCCTGCCACTCCAGGGATTCCTCCCCTTGGTTTTAAGGGTTCCCACACACTCCTTGCAAAAGCCAGGATTAAATAGGTGACAAAAAAACAAAACAAAACCAACTTTTGTCTCCCCTGCCCCAGAACGCTTTGTCCATTCCTCCTCTGACCGACCAAGCTCTCATACACCACAGGGAGGCTCTGATGTCTCGTTTGTCCCCCACCCCTTCCAAAAAGGGGGCCCAAAGATCCCACCAGCCTCCCCCACCTCTCACCTGTGGGTGCTCCCCGTCTCCACCCCCACGCACTGCCAGGCACAGACCCACGGCCATCCCGGAGCCCCCCTTCTCTGTGGCTGGGCAGACCACGGCAGGAGATGCCGAGCGCAGCGGGTGCTGGCGGCTGTCCCCAGGGACTGCCCACATCTGGCTGGTGCCAGCCAGCTCCATTCACCACGGAGCCAGCGCGGGGGTTATCGGGCTGAGCTTTTAAAGGGCTCTCATCCCACTGGGAGGCTTTCATACTCACTATGAGCAGATCCTGGAGCCGGAGGCCTTGATGGTTTGTCCTATCCTCTCACGGCTGTGCTTGATGAGTTCTGCGAGGAAAGTTGAAGCACTGAAGCCGATTAGCTTGCAGTGTGATCACAAGTGCACAGAGGCACATTTATTCTTCACTGACCTTGCTCTTCTCTCCTCAGCCACCACCCTCCCCCTTCCACCCACATACCAAAATAACAAGGAAATTATAGGAACCAGGACAGCTCCCCTTCCCAGCCCTGCCACAAGCCCTCAATAGCTCATAGGATGGGGATAAGTGCCACAAAACAGACACCCTCTGCCACAGCAGAGGGGACTTGGGCTAAAGTACAACCACCAAGCCTCCCTGAGCCACCCCAGGTCTCCAGGAGGGACAAGGAGAGTGCTCACAAGGACAACGTTGTACTGGGATACATCATGCATTTGGCACATCCACTGCCCCTTTCATTCAGGACTCTGTGAGTAATTAGGGACATGAATGAAACCTTTCAGGGGCCTGCAGGAGGTAAGCCAGCACACACACATCGCAGTAAGTGACTTGCCCAAGGACATGCAGCCAGTGCCAGAAGCTGGGATTCCCACCACGGAACATCCCTGTTGCTCAGCTGTGCAGGCAGTTGCCATCACCCATCATCATCACCTCTCCCTGAGGTGCAAAGTCCTGAGCCTGCTCCTCACTGCACAGGCTGAGCAAGAGAAAAAGCCCGAGAAGTGCAACCTGCATGGAGGAGTTCCTTGTTTTGCTTAGGAGTACATAAAAATATTTCAAGACTCAGTTTTACACGCTGGCTCTACCCTATTTCTGCTCCTGGAAGGAAAGAACGAATCTGAACGCTCACAGAAACATATGCTTCCCTCTTCCCTTCAGAAAGGGCCTTTTTAGACACAAGCAAGTTGTCACCCTGGAATAGGTCTTCTACAGACCAAGGAATTGGCAGCACCACCTGCCAGAGCCCACCTCTCCAAGCAGGGAGTTTGTAGGACCACAACAAGTTTTGAGGTAAACACAAGCCCATTTACAGGGCCCTTCCCACATGGGTCTTAGGATCTGCCATATGGAGGGACCTGCATGCCCCAGAGAGCCACTGAACCGGGCACCACCAGCATTCTGGGATCTGGGTGCAGATCTGATGAGGAGCCAAAAGACAGGCTGTGGGTTTAATGTTTCTGAACAGGTAAGAAAGGGAGAGAAGGAATTTAAAGAAAAACCCACAAACCAGTCAGTGAGTGAGCTTAGCTGGTCTGAGACCTGGGCCTTGTCCAATACTTTGTGCTGCAGCAGGCACAAGAGCTTGGCCCAGCATGCAGGCAGCACCCAGACAGGTCAATCCCCATCTCCTCCCACTGGGCACAGTCCTTATTTCCCTGACAGTCTGGCTTTCCCTGGCTCACCAAGGTCTATTGAAGGTCATCCAATGCCTGCTTCAGGGCTGTGTCTGTCCCACAGGCTGGCCAGATATCACAGTCATAGCAGGGGCACATCAGGTCTGCTGTCTCAGAGCAGGCAACACTCACTCAGGGCTCAGGGAGGTCAGCACAGGATGGCCAGGGGCACACAGGTGTGTGTGGAACAAGCACCAAGCTGCAAACAGCAGTAGGTAGAAGAGTGAGGGCTCCCACCCCCTGCCCAGGAGCCTCCCACCTGAGCAACCTGACCAAGCCCACGCAGTTTAACACCTCGCTCCTGCTCCATCAGGTGACACAGTCTGTTCCCCCCAGATCTGAACCCAGACAAGCTTGGCTTTGGCCCCAGGGTCAGCTTGCTGCCACTGACACTGTTCTGATCCCAGATTCATGGGGAAAATAATGACTCAGGCACAGCTGGACATGTCACAGCTTGGGCATCTTGGGGAACACATGGGCAAGCCACAGAAACACATCCATCCAGCCTGGAGGTATCTGCTGGCAGCACAGGATGCAGGACAAGTTCCTGACTTGCTGCACAGGGCTTGGACAAGGCAGCTTTAGCAAGGTCTCCACAGCCTGCAGCTAGGCAGGAGCATCACTGCTGAGCAAAGGCTGCACAGCTCTTCCAGGGCCACAGCCCCTTCATGCTTCCATCCACCAGCCCCATTTTGCTCCACAGCTTCTTTGTTGGAAGTGAAACTACTCAACAAGTCCCTGCTGACCAAGGGCAGTGTTTTCCAATAAAGTTATTTCAGTAAATGTTTTGCTCAGAGGCAAGAATCTCCCTTTCTGCACTGAAATACCATGCACATTTTTAGGATATGTACATCCCCATCCTGTATCACTTTCTATTTAGCCTCAGAGTCACCTTTCCCAGCCTGAGTCCACCTTCAAAGCCAGGTTAGTTTCTGGTTTAAGTCTCCCAAGCAGTCAAACATGCTTTTCCTTATCACTAGCAAACCCTACTCCCCCTAAAGCACAAAGACTTCCTGAGCGCACACACACTGAACAACAGAAGCAGAAATAGGTCATGAAAATACGCTGGAAACCTTGGTTATACATGCCCAGCTGCATCCCTCCTTGTGCTGCTGGGGCAGCAGGGATGCTCCTGGCACAGCCAGGGCCACCAAGAACATCAGCAAGCAAGTCTAGGAGTTTCCTGATATGATGTGGCTATTACACACCAGGAACATGAACCACTGCACCCCACAGCCCCCTCCTCAAAGATCATTTCACCCCAACACCCTGGGCCAGAGGCATCCCCCAGGCAGCAGGTACCCACTGTAAACGTAAAGCTGCTACTTACAAGTTGGAGCAGTTACTGCAGTTAAGTCTCCCCCCAACAAACATCCCTCAGTAACAATACGTTTTCTTCCCAGCACAGCACAAGCAGCTCCTTCTTCCTTCAACAGTTCTGCCAGTGGTGACCCACATTCCCATGCTAGCCCAGCGTTATTTGCTACAAACACATTACTAATGCAACGCGTACCTTGCGCAGAGAGGCAACCTCACAGACTCGTCATCTGCAAAGCTGCCTCCCACCCTCTTCCCTGATGTCACCGCTCTCAGCATCATTTCCTACCTAACCTAGATTGCAAACCCCTCGGAGCAAGTGCCTCGTCCTCTCCCGCTCTGGGAAAGGCTAGTTGCCAGCATGGAGAGGCAAGGAGGACTGGCAAGCTGTCATTGGGACAGCAGGCAATGCTTTGGAAGAAGCACAGACTTTGGAGGGGCACCTAAGGCAGCCCACAGCTTTCATCCAGCACAGGGGCTGCACACAACGTAAGGGGGAGATGCCCCAGTTTCAGCGCAGAGAAGGAGCACAAGGGGAGGTGGGAAGGAGGACTCCTTGAAAACACATGCTTTTACTGGAAAAAAAAAAAAAAAGCTTAAGCTTTCCCCTGCTGTAGATCTAAGAGATAGCTCCAGGCCAGCACTGAGCTCCACTTTCATTCCCACTGAGACACTACAGCACACAGCAAGTCCAGGAAGAGGTTAGGAAAAACTTTAAAAGACTTCTTCACTTGGGGAAGCTTTCTTAGCAGAGCTCCTGGCTTGTCCAATTTTCTTTTGCAGATCCTTTCCCCTACACCCCAGAGACACCACAAACAAGAGCAGGAACCCCAGCCAGGCAGCCCCAGCTCTGAGCAAGTTGGAGACCACAGACAAACAACCCTCCAGATTTTAGAGGAAAAAAATTACATGCAAAACTGGAAGAAAACAGCAGGTGGCTAAAGCTTGCAGAATTTTGCAAAACATAACCCCATGAAAATAGAAAACAAAGCATCAAACACACCTGGGAGCACATCTACCAGCGGAGGCTCTGTCCTGAAGCACGGGAAGCAGCCCACAGGCAGCAAGCACAGAGACCCCTCCCTCCCCACACTTCCCATCCTCGTACTAGCCCACCCTGCCCCTGACTGCCCTGGCAGAGCAGAAGCCCAAGGCTCTTTCCTAAAACTCAGAGGGGAATAGCTTTGTTTCTTGCAGCAGTTCATTTAGGCCTTGAACACAAGCCTCCCCACCTTCCCAGGGCAATCACAGCAGTGCTGCTGTCTCACTGCAGCCCTTTAAAGAGAGCAGGGAAAAGCTGATCAGCTGAAAAAAATGAAGAGACACCTGCTAGATATACCCAAGGAGTGAGAATTTAGGTGGGGGTGGTAGTTTTGGATGAGGAGGGAGAGGTGCAGGTGGTGGGTAGGAGCAAATTACATCCTGGCAGGCATCTCAGGTGTTAAGAACAATTTTTTACATGTTAGTAAGTTGGAAAATTGTCCACTGTCCCATGGTTGGGAGAAAGGTCAAAACTGTTATTTGGTTCAGGTTGAACAAAGAAGAAGCTGCTGCTTCCAGTGTCCTCCACAGACCTGGGAAGACTGCAGCCCAGAGTAGCCAGACTGGAGCTTTGCAGCAGTATTAAATGCAAACATAAACACACATGGAGGGGAAAACCTGGTGTTGGAGGCACACAGTGCTTTGAGAGAACAGAGACTAAGCCCTGAGCAAAAGGAGACATTAGAGATGTGCTGGTGTCTTCTCTCTCTCTTCATTAAAAATAAAGCAGTCGCTTTTTGCTTCCACTGTAGTTTCCTATGAAATCTCCCTGTGTGTATCTACAACGGGAGAAAAGCCATGTTATAGAGTGAGTTAGGTGGCGGGTGCAAAGTGGTAAGGGCCCAGGTCTGGGCAGCCTTCCCCGTGGGACAGGTCCTAACCCCAGACTACAGCTGCCAGGAGGAAATCATCCAAAATACCTGATGTGCTCATTGCCATGTGTAACAAGAGAGGGGAAGCAACGTGTTGCTTGAAATATCATTCTCTCTCAGATCAAAGCCTTAATTTTTTTTTTGCTCAGACAACATCCCTTTTAAAAATTCTATTATGTGTTTATTTTCTCAGGTTTTTCTTCTACTTGTGTTGAAATGGTCAAGCATCAGAATACTTTCAGCAGCTAACTTAACATTTTCAAGTCAATACCTTTTGCTTTTGTTTCTTTCAATAAAAAATGGTGTTATTGACAAAATCTACTTGATTTTATTTTCTATAGAAAGGTATCTTTAATTAAAAACCCATTTTCTATCCAAAGAAGACAAAACAGAGGGATCCTGGAAGGAGAAGTTTTTACCAGCTAGAATGCATAAAATACCTAATCTGGAGTATGGACAGTAATGACAGTAGATACTGATGGACAAAGCAACAGCTGGGTTGGTTTTGTCCACCCTGCCCGCCCTGTTTGTGAGGGCTGCTGACACTCCGGGGCTGTGCCCATGCTGGCTGGGGCTCAGGGCCAGGCATGTGGTGTGAGGCTGCCACCCCCCTTGCACATAACCACCTCCTGGCCACCCGTGGCTCTCATGGGGGCCAGGCTTCATGCGGCCCTTGCCAGGAAGGGTCGGCCCCAGCCAACTGTGCCCGCGAGGCTGGGCTGTGGCACGGGCCAGGCTGGAGCCCACCTGGAAGGCACAGAACGGGGCTCTGCCCTCCGCCAGCCGCTCCTCACCGCAACGCCAGCCGGAGACCTCGGTGGGGAGGCCTCCTCCATGCCCTCACCATCCCCAGGGGGTTAGTGATACCATACCAGCCAAAAGCATTACCCTTTGTCTTCCCCAGGGTGGTGGAGGAAGGCTCCATCCAGGCCATGTGCATAAAGCCAGTGGGAATAGTGCCCTCTCCTTAGGGCTGCGGCAGGAGCTCAGCGACCGACACCGGGTGTCCTCACGCAGACGTTTCTCTGGCTGCAAAGGTGAAGGGCACAGGAGTAAGAGTAGAAACAAGCCCTGGGGTGCAGCGCTGGCTGCCTGCCAGCCGGGCATGGCTCCAGGATGCAGGGCTGGCTCCCTGACCCTTGTCTGGCCAGCACCCACCCAGCGCTCAGTCTGGTCGAGATCTCTGGGGTGCTCTGCCACGGCTCTGGTCTCTCTTTCTTCGCACTCCTCTGGAAAGAACTTTGGGATTGGCAGATAGAGGGCACTGGAAGAGAGATGGTTGGTACTGGTTGGCTGTTTGACTTCTGTACAGCAGACAAAATTTACCCTACAACTGTTAAATTCACAGATTTCCCTTCTTGGGAAGGGAATGTTGTTATTCGATGCTTTGAGGATCTGAGACCAAATTCATCCTCCCTGTACCTAGGGTGACTTCCCCAGCACTGGTGGCTCCCTGGCACAGGAGAAGACATTCCCTGGAAGCACAGGGACACATGGACCACCAGTATATCCCCAGCACAGGGCAGGTCTTCACCTGGGGATTCAACATCAGACACCACCAGATGCCTGGGGCAGCTGCAGAGAGCTTTGTCCTGGAGAACCCATGACTCTCCCTGGAGAGGTGTCCTGGGCAAGCAGTTGTCCCCATGATGGAGGACATGAGAGGGGCAGGTAGGTGTGAGCAGGGCGAGACTCCAGCGTGCTGCCCACCTGGGCAGCCCTCCCCACGTGCAAGAGGTGGGACTTTCCCTCTCGCCCTGTCCCCGTGCACCCACGGCCACAGCAGCCTGCAGCAGCTCTCGGCCCTTGCCCAAGTGCTGCCCCTTGCCCACAACAGGACACATTAGTGCCACGCTGAAGGGCTGATGATTGTGGGAGCACTTACAGGGCACTACATTATATAGACACACAGGCATGCGTCCCTACAGGTGCTGCAGGCGTGACCATGCACCCCTTACATCAGGACTGGCCTTGGCCCATTCCTCTGCCCAGCACCTGCAGGCTCCTAAACAAAATCAAACAATCCTAGTGAAGCTGGAGACCTGATGGTGTCAGTGTTGGGTTCTGCCGGCGTTGCTGGTCTTCTGTGCAGGGGTGGTGTTTCTCTGCCCTCCAGAGAGCACATCTATGCCAGGAAAACCTCTGGCTGGGCCTGGGTTCAGAGGTGATGAGCTGCTCTTGGGCAATTTAACTCCTTCTGTGCACATCTGCTGCCTGGAGTGGACTTGGTCAGACCATGATGGGAGCAAGCCCTGGCCACAGAAAGGCGATTTTTTTCAGAGCCTGCAGACATTGCCTGTGCTTGGAAACATTTTCCTTTCCCACCCAAAGGAGGAAAACTGCCTTCATTTCTCTGAGCGCTATAAGGGGTTGAGGGCTGTGTGGTCCTCTGTGGTGCCTCCCGGCAGGGCCTGCCCTGGCCTGTGCTGCTCACCCCGAGGAAGCCACATTTGCAGCTTCTCTGAGGCAGGACACATCCAGTGGACAACAGGTCCAGCTTGTTGTCTCTACACGCAGAGAAGTACCCCTCTCTCTCTAATATTTTATATGCTATGCATATATGCTATTTTAGAGGGAAAGGTGTCTTAATCTCCCTATCTAGCATATGCAAAACCATAATCATAAAAGTACCACTGAAGTGGAACCACACAGTCCTGAGCAATCAGAATTGCAGGGAAGGGTCCAGATAAGATTAAAACAAATATTTCTCTAGAGAGCACAAAGTAGTTTCCATTGACCTGCAGTGAAAGGTGACCTAAAATGTTTGGCTACTCAGTTATCTCTACTGGGTGAGGGATAGGATAGGATAGGATAGGATAGGATAGGATAGGATAGGATAGGATAGGATAGGATAGGATAGGATAGGATAGGATAGGATAGGATAGGGTAAAGAGCCTATTTCTTCATCTTAAGAGGATTCATGAAAGACTAAATAGACTCCTGATAATCACTGGGGTTCTTTAAATTTTTGTTTTCTCTTTAAATTTTTATTTTAGCTTCAAAAAGCCAGGGTTCTGTCTCAGGCATTGCCTTTGATTTTGCCAAGGAGTCCCAGATGGGTACTGAAAAGTTCCCCATGTTTTGGTGAAAGGAGCCAGGAGGAGGACACTCAGGATCAGGATTTTACTCTGAAGGACAGCTAAAGTGGGTTTGAGCAACTCTTGCAACTGTCAGTGCATCTGTTTCTACAAGTATGAACATGGCAGAATATTACTGATCTCTTGTAAAGCCTTTACATCATCAGAGGAAAAA